GGAACTTTTCGAGCTGTATATGACTCATTGCGAATTCCACAACCTCCGAATGTCTCGGATGTACTTACTTTGCACACACACACATAACTTACCCTGTGTACCGAGGATTATTGTCTCGTTCCCAGAAACATTGCTCGAATCAATCAACCACATCACTCGGAACGTATTTTTAATTATTAGCAGCTTTACCTGTACGTGTATATATATATATATATATATATATATATATATATAGGCACATGATAATATATTGTATACACATGAATTCGATCGCGATAAACCAACCAAGTGTACACACATGCACGTAATACATATACAATATCTATGAGCACAGAAGGAGAAATCGCATTACAGTCATATTATAATAGCAATACGGTGGTGGTCCGGGGGGGGGGGGATAGCACGCGATAGATCAACAGCGAATAATAGCTCATGCAGGGAATTATTATCAGTTTGAATAATACAAATGGGCTTAATTATAAATTACACGGCCCCGGCATAACATATAATATACACGTGTATACTGCGGGGCGCAATTTGAATCTCCGTCCGAATCAATCATCGCTCGCGTTTTACAATAAAAACTCCCATTAAAATACCACCCTCAACCCTCGCTCTCTATCTTCGTGTCAATTACTCTTTCTCCCTTCCTATTATAATACACGTGTACTCTTGGATATGCGCAATATCGACTCGACCTCCTGAAAAATTCTCCAATGTGTATGTATCGTCATTGCTTGCACCTATGTGCAAGTTTTCCTTAAGAGGAATCCATCGAAAGTCACAACCTTCCGTGGTGATGTACGTGATCACGGAGCAAACGTCCGATTCGCTCTGTATAATCCGTACGATTATTGTCCCTTTTTTACTAGGTATCACTGTTGCACATATTGTAATATGATATTGTGTGCAATGTATCTCGCGCGTGTGGGTATCTGTACGTATAAGCCTACACTGGTTTCATTAATCAACGTGATGCAAGAGAGTTGGAAGTCGAGAGGAAGAGTCGGTCGATATGCTCGCGAAGCACACATACTGTAATCCAAGTGCCGCTGGATCCTCCTGTGCCCACGATGTCCTAATGGAGGAAGTGCCACGACTCTATATATACACGCGCTCGCGGCTATTACCGAGATGATTATTACGGTGTCGAGCGTACATGCAGGGGAATCTCTCGAATGGATGTACGATATATGTATATATATGTATATTTGTACAACACGCAGTATGTGCAATGTTAAGTAGGTACACGAGCAAACGTGAGATTTCACAGCTATTTTCAGGCTTTTTTGTGCTCCAGAAACAGTTCTGTGCATAACTGGTATGCCTCTGCGTTTACACTTATATATATATATATCGTAATGGTAATTTCACGGATGGAACTAATGCGCTCGTTCCTAAATGCGTACATGCATCACATTATATAATATGTGGGGAGGTGCATATAGGGAGATGGACGCGTCGGTCCACACCTATACCTTATATTCATCGACGCAGTCTGTATTTGTTTGTATTTACATAGCAATTAAAAAATTCACCTATTAGTCGTTCCGTAAAATAATGGAATATTATTATGATTCGGTTTAAACGAGCAGCCATTGCTTCCAAATGTAACACATTCGCTCGATTACGCGCCCTCTCTCTCTCTCCTCCTGAAAAAGGACATCATCTTCGTATGCGGATTCCCTCGTACAATAGGTATATATAGGTATTCGGTTGGTCAACAATATGGGAAAATAAATATTACCGTGGGATACACTCCAAACGCGGTAAACATAGCTGGAGTGTTTGATCGTGATCGGGGTCGTATATGTACATGCGGAGACTTGCTTACACGTTTGTTGTCTATATCCAAACACAAAGCGTGTACGACGTCATTATCTTCTTTTCTTCGCTATATGTATACTAATCGATCGTCGTTGTGGGCAGGGAAATACAAGGGCTGGGCTTTCGTTGTAGTATTCGCAACGGCACACTGTGTCCATAATAAACGACGTCAAGTTTGAAGTGAAGTACATCATAGCCTCGAGTGCGGTAGTTTCTACTTCTCACGTGACTATTGACACACACACCTATACCTATACTTCAAGTTAACTTTGTGGAAAGCAAATTAGACGACTGTACAGGTGTTTCCGCAAAATTACCATTGTACAGCTATACGTCCCGATGTCCGTCAAATATTCAATTTCAAGACTCTCTCGATCGCTACACATGATTTTTGATACCAAAAATTACACACCTGCCACCAAACGTGTATACCTGTATACTCTCTCGACGCGTAAAATATACGCCAACAGGTTGGCGTCCACATCCGTTCGTTCCTATACGCGGCTGCACAAGTCACGAAAATCCTCGGGAATACATATGTATACCCACACCGTAAGAGTGACGTAACGCGCGCATATAACGTGTGTGGGACTCGCTCGTTCACAGGAACGGGATGTCTCCGGTTCCTCGATAACTCGTTACTATATATATGTATAATACACCGCGTGAAAGAGAAAGAGAAAAATTTCAAGTGAAAGTGCACACACACGTGCACGTGCCACAGATAGGTTCGGCGGCAGTGGCTCTGTCTCAAGAGACACCTGATTGATCGATTGGTAACTGTCCATCAGCCGTTTCGGCTTGACTTAGTTTCCAGCGATGAAAGTAGACTTTCCTCGATGACTCGTGGGATGCTCTCGCGGAGTTTTTAGGTGCTTTCAACCATTACTCGAGTTTGGATGAATTACTCCTCTCTCGCAATGGAATATTTATTGAAATTTTAATCGAAACAGCGACTAGTGGCTTAACTCTCTACGTACGTTACGTTGAATCATGTGCAACCGGTTCGACATGGTGCTGTGACGTATTTAATCGAAAGTTATCGTGCAAGTTTCAAAACCCACTGAAATTTGCATTATTTAGGCTACCCGAGCGTCGACGTGCAAATAATAACGATGATATCTCGCTCGGCGTCACTTTGGGCCGTTGACAAGGCAAAATTGGCATTCCTCTTTTAAATCACCACGAAAACCCCCACGCCCTCCGAATATATATACCCGACGTGACGAACGACAGGAGCAACAACCGTGGCGAATTCATGATCGTCGGGGGGGGGGGGGGGCTCGGTAATAATTACCGATATCAAAGAGGAGGAATCACCGCGAGTGCCGGGCCGTTGAAAATCGGCGCTCGTAAAAGTCGGGTACCGAGAGCCGATAAAAATGTCCGATAATTTTGCGGTAATCGCGGGCCGTTTATTAAGCGCACGCGCTTGGACGAGGTTTAAAAATGAGCGACGGGAGATCGGTATCGGGAGCTTTTTAATGGCGGGGCCCGAACCCTCCGAAAATACCTGCGGGGCTATGGTTGCAGGGGGGGGGGGAGAATGCAGAGGGAAGAGATATGAGGTAAGACGACGAGAGCCGGGTTTTTTGGTCGATGAACCCACCTCGAGGGCCTTTTATTCCTCCCGTCCGTGCGTGCCTGCTCTTCTCTTTTTCGGCTCCCTCGAACTAGTTCTTTCGACGTATACACGAGCATACCCTTACTTTTCGAGATATGACGTGTAGGAACCAAGTGTATATGCGCGTGGATGTGTTGAAATCGGTATTTTGAGGCTATTGCAACTCTTGTACAAAGAGAAACCATAAATTTCGCGGCTCGTCGATAAACTCGAATCTCAGATCCAATGTAAATTAATTCGAAAGGTCGTCCTGGCAAAAACCACGTAATCCTTGCGTGAATAGCCCAATCGAATAAATTAGCTCCAAAAAAAATAGCAAAACATCGGAGTTCCCCTACGTAAAAAAAAAAAAAAAGATAGGCATCGTACAAAAGTGCAGCTCGATCCCTCGTCCAATTCGCTAAAACTCCTCACTCTTTAGTCATTGTTTTTCGCTTCTTGGAATAGTTCAATGCCGTTCGTATCCACCGCACTTTTTTTTCATCTGTTTTCGATTCAGCAAAATATCAGACTCCACTTGGTAACGTGTTCAGAGGCAAATGCCACGTGACACCTGACGAGTACGAGCAAAAAAGACAAAAGCAACGACTCTTGCTCTTCTCGATAGTCTCGTGTATTTTTTTATCCTCTTCTCCTTCGAGCTCACCGAAATTAATTCATTTCGCGGCGTCATTTATCAGGTCGGGATGTTTTCTCTCTCTCTTTGGCAAGTGTTGTAAAAGTGCAAATTCTGGACGAAAGCAAGAATCTTTGGGCACAACAGCTTTTTCAAGCTGGCTTGACGTGCTCAAATACTCGATGATCGTGTACCTATATACAGTCGACGTTGTTAATCTGAAGTTCTTCTATGAATGTTATGCACAAAACCAAATTTGTAGTCCCAGCCACACCGCGCTTCGGTCAAAAAGACGAGCCCGTGCATCCATACCAATAAATCCGACCGCTTGCAAAAATGAAAAACAAGCCATAAAACCCGCCTCGGTCGCAGTAAAAACATTTACCGGCGATATTGTTCGGGCGGATTTTTGCGATTTCAAGGTTCACCGGCAAGCAAAAGTTGCTGCGACCGCAAAACGTCGAAAGATAAAAAAAAAAAAAAAAGACACCCGCACACTCGAGCACTTAAGCCAGATTGATGGCGTCGGGTGTAACGAGTGTCGGGTCCTCCCCAACGCTCGCGTCGCACAAAAGCGTTTACGAGCCTTGAAAAGGAGCTTAATTTCCGCATCGGTTATTTTTTTCTTCCTCCCCCTCTTCCCCTCTAAAATCAACAAGCACATGCAGCGAGTCTCACGCGAATGGTATCGTTAAAATTAAGAAAGTACGTCCCATCGGCCGCGATTGCGTGCGTCCATATACGTATTATGTTCGCGCTCGCGTGCGCCTTTGTTGTTTCGTCCCTTCCTAGCGTCCCTACGTATGTATACTTGTAGCATTTAGCCACCAAGAGGCGTGTCTAAAACATATAAGCGCTACACGTTAGACCCTTGACCTTGTAATGGTTGTTTCGTTGAGTGAATAATTGTATATTTTTCCGTGATTTCCGCAGATGTGATGCCGAGCTGAGCCGAGAGTAGGGTAGGTCCGCCGCGCGATGGAGGCGGTACCTAAGCAAGCCGTGGCGCCGAGCCCGGGCGTCCAGCTGCAGCAGTGCCAACAGCAGGAGGACGTGCAGTCGGACGGTGGCGGCCCCATCGAGGACGGCATCATTCTCGCTAGGGTCCACGTACCCGAGCTCTGCGTCAGCAAGTGTCTCCAGTTCCCCAAGGATCAGCTCGTCTGGGACGTCAAGCAGCAATGCCTCGCATCTCTACCCAAGGTTAGCCCACCACGTCCAACCACTCACCTCATCATTTATTTATATATACTTTCTATGAAATTGTGTTTTACATCATCTTCATCTTTTGGTCTCATTAACATTCCATTTTAATCCTTTGGTTTTCCGTTTCGTTGAGTTGTCATATGGGTATTTTAAGAAGTGAATTTGTGCCACACCAAATGCGAGTATATTGTTGCTCGTCCAACTGTTTCTTTTTTTTTTTTTTTTTTTCCAGACCATTCCCAGTTCCACGCCACGGCGTTTTTATCCCGGCGCGATGCGTATCTGGACCCGTTTTCTCGCCACGCGAGGCGTCCTCTTATCGTCCAGCCCTTCGGGACTCGCCGGGCGCTACATGTAGAGCATCCCGTATACCTGGTTATACAGCACGTGCGCGTGGGTCGCCAACCTCCTCCGGGTGGGCGTGATTTGTAGACTCGATTTTCTCATTCTCTCGGGTATATGCCTACTGCAATAAAAAAAAAGAGGGGGTTAAGGGAAGCGATTACGTTCTCGACGAAGGTTTCATTTGTGGGTGATTTCGGCGAGACATTGTATACCCCCTCCGTGCGATGCGAATTAGAGATCGTTGGACCCTTTTTTTTTTCCATACGTGCTCGTGGACACTGGACACCGGTTGCAAATAAAAACACCTACACCCGCGACTACTCGTATTTCGGATTTTTCTAACGATCGTATCTCCGTTTGATATATCGGATTGTCGCGCGCGTACGGATAAAGATCGGTAAATAGTTTTTTGATTCGGGATCGGGGGACTTCATACTTTCCCCGACGACGTACACGCCATGGCTATAACGTTTCTTTGCACCAATTTTGCGCGTAGTTTCGGGAGCTCGACTCATCTTCGACTGCGCTATCTCGTGTATCATTACAACGATTCGCCGAGGTACATACATGCCGATGTATACGGACGCAAATGTAACCTACCTATACTTCGAGTTGGGGCGGTGTGTTTTGGATATAGTGTAATTACACGTGCATAAGAGCTGCAGGTGATTCTTCTACGTCCACGTGGATAATTGCTCGAGTTGGAGCGGGTTAACGTTACGTGCAAATATGAAAAACAATCAATTGTCTCTGAGACGTTGTCTGGGGCTCAATCGAGCCGAGTACAGCTTCAAAAACTTGGCACTCGAAACAAATGCTCGGATAAAAACGCAAAAAAGTCTAATAATCGCCGAAAAAAAAAAAAAAAAAAAAAGCGAGCCGTATGTAGGGTCGAAGAAATAGCGATCGTCTCGGAAAGCTTAACCCTGAAATTTTCCAGCCTCGAGTGGCAAAGAGTAATAAATTCTCATTGAAATCCGAAGAAAGAGAAAACGCGAGGCGATTATCGTAGATCAAAAGAGAGGGGGGGGGAAAGCCAAACTCGGGGGGGGGGGGAAATCGGCGCTGGCGATCTCCGCGTAATCGGACGCGAAATTCTCCCGCCGACTGAATTATATCGCGTCCCCACGCGCCGTGGCGATAAACCTTCCTCTTTATCCCCCCTCCTCCTCCTCCTCCCTACGTGTCCCTTACAACCTGTACGAGTGCGTGCGTGTGTACGGGGTTTGGATGTCCTTTTTTTTTTCTTCCTTTGAGCGCAGGGTCGCGTCCTTGAACGAGCCGACGCTCTCGCGGCGCACTTGACTCTTAGGATTTTTCGAAATCCACGCGAGCCCCCTCTTTCGACTTTATTTGAACTATCTTGATACAGCCGTATATATATTTTTCCCGATTTTATAAGGCCTGTATGCGAGCTTGAGATTTTCCTACCATCAAAACTTTGTATCCCCAAGCGTATGGGCGTCGACTCGTCGAGGACCACAAGGATTGTACATTGGCTTTTCCGAGCTCTTGCATCTCGCGTCTCTTTGAGCTTCGTTAAACTTTAATTTGAATTTTTAAATAGTTTTTTTTTTTTTTTTTTTTTTTTTTTTTTTTTTTTTTTTTNTTTTTTTTTTTTTTTTTTTTTTTTTTTTTTTTTTTTTTTTTTTTTTTTTTTCTTACTCCCAGACGAGACTCAAGGGGATTCGAGAATTTGCCGAGCAAGAGGTACAATCGCTCGCTTTTATTATGCAGACAAGTGCCGCGTTGGCTGGAAGAAAGAAATCTGATATGTGTTTGACAATTACTTTCACTGGTATTTGAACAAGGTATATATACATACGCGCGGCGCTTGTCTCCCCAAATACAAAGTTATTCAAGTACTAGTCCGCACAACACTTTCACGAGGGTCTATCGTAGAAGAGTAACGCAGTAGTTGTATACATATATGCATATTATATATACTGCACATGTATGTGTGCGTATAATATATATATCATGTGGTTATAAGGATTATGATTAATAAGAGTTACACGTGTCATGTATTTAGTGGCAAACGAAAAGTGTCGTAAACTCTATATGATATATACTTGAACAGATGATGAATCAAGTATATATATGTGGTCAATGTGCGGCTTACTGCTTTGATATATCTTTCATGTACATCTTTTTTTGTTTTTTGTTTTCTTTACGTTTCTTTTCACATTTCCACTTCCACTTTTGTTATTATCTCTTTTCTGTTCACTACTATTTTTTGTAATCATGCATAGGAAATGAAAAAAAAACAAAAAAAAAAAAAAAACCAAGGTTTTCACGCGGATCGTCTCATCTCTCTTTTTTATGTCCAACACGCTTGCCTTCTTCCATGCGGACACAGGAGGTACAGCACGATAAGGAATAAAATAATACACCCTCTCAGTGTTTACAACGATCATAATAATGCCTCTTTATAATGAATGCCAGCTTATTGTCAATTCCGCTTCGAGCGAATATCCACACATAATAATATTGTTCTCTCGTTTGATTGTTCATTAGAATACAAATGAATCGCAGATAACTTTCACAGTCGTATTCGCTCGAAGCTACAACAGAACCACATGTACACGTTATTAATTTGGCACTGGAAAATTGCTTAGGGTATCCCGCAATTTTTCGGCTATTAATTTAATTTGCACACCCCTGCTATACGATGTACATACACAATATACCACGCGTAAGCTGAAACTGCTTCGGTATCCAGTATTCAACTCGATCCATTACACCCATTTGCTTTGGATACCGAAGCGGATTACTTTACGTAGCGAGAAAACTATCAAACAGGCTAAGCGCTTTTGCCTGCAAGATTTCACCTTTTTCACCCACACAGCGGACGAGTTCGATGATGGCAACGACAGCTCTCCCCACCTGTGATTCCGTACAGTCGAGCATGCACTCTATAAATATTCATTCGTCTCGATGGATCGTTAATGCACACCTCCGAGCGAGGAATGTCAATTAGTAGTTTCTTTATTTCCCGACGCTCCGGCAACTGCTCACTCAAGTCCAGCAACACCAGGGAAAATTCTTTTCGCTAATAATCGCACTTTGGCAGCTCTCGCCTGTACACGCGCGATCCCCGTTAGATGTAATTGTACAGGAAGTTCGGTCACTTTGAGTGGGGCCGTAAATATTTCGATTTTACGAGCTTGAAGCGCACGCGCGAGGGTACAATGGCTCCGGGATGTAAATCACGGCGACGACGACTGTTTTTCTTGAGCGCCGTGGTACAATAAGGGGGAACGAGGTACCCTTGCCGATTTTTCAGGCACGGGGAACACACCGGGAGAGCAAAGAGCCCGTAAAACGCTTCGAGCTTTGATTATTACCCGAGATGCCGAAAAATTCAGAATTTTCTAGAAAACAAAGTACCATCGCCCAAAACACACGTTTGTAGTGGCACTGCGGGCTGGTGAATTTCTCGTGCCTATACCGGGCGTATCGAGTGCCACATCAGGGCCCTTGTCAACGCCGATTAAACTCGCGGAATATGCGTGGCCCGTTAAATCGTTGGCACGCGTGCGGGACAGCTTTGATTTCGCACCCGCGTGTGTACGCATCGAGATTTCGTTTATCCGATTGCTCATAGGCCAATGGCACGCGAGAACGCGCGTATGCGTATACATGGCTCTTTTTTTTTTTTTTTTCTTCGTTATCGTTTTTGTCGCGCTCCACACGGAGGCTGTATATTTCGTCCTCGCTTGGCTGTAAATTTCAACCGATCGGATGGACTCGGTATCGATATAAATACACTTACGCGTGCCGATTCGTTAAAACGCGATCGATTTATGCGCGCGCGCGTGCGTGACAATAAAAACAAAAAAACAATATCAAAAATGTTGATACCGATACACTCTACAACATACATGTATGTATCTTTGATCTTGAAACTAGTTTTCGTAACAGTTGGGGCGTTTAGCGATAGTATCTGTGAATATGGTGTACGTGTAATGGAATCGGTTTCTCCCGCGATGCCAAATTCAACGATACTCTACAGTGAAAGTTCCTTTCTTGTAATGCGAGTTGATTTTAATTGCCTCTCATAGATCACAATCGAGATTAAATGGAGTTGTAAAATGCGATTCGATGCGCGGGTGCGTAATTCTTAACGGTAACTCGAGTTGGATTTATATATGGACGCTCGCGAGAGACGATAAATTTTCCAACTTTTTACTTACGGTACTATTGAAGTCTTTGGAGACGCGATGTCGCAATTGTGGGGATTATTTTAAGTGACATTCTTACCGTAACAAACACGTAAAAAAAAAAAATAATAATTCTCAAACGATTGTCTAAAATTACTTACGCGTATAGAAAAAAAGGCACACACGGGGAAGAATATTCATAGCCGGCAATAGAATCGCGAGGATTCCGTGATGCCGACACGAGGATTTTTCGAGCCCCTGCCTTGGCACGGACAGTGAGCGATCGGGACAAAAGGAGCGTTACGAGCTCGCGCGCGAGATGCATACAATCGTACAACCGAGAAACAGAGGAGAGGGAAAGAAATCCTCTTTCAGAGCCGAAGAAGGCTTTATTACGCGAAAGGCCGATTTGTAAAGTGCCCGAGCCAAACTCGCCACCCATCGAACTCGCCCCCCCCCCCCTACACACACACGTACGATCACAACACTTACCCCCTTTGCCCACTTCTTTGCACGGCCTCTCCTCCGCGAGCTTCTCTCTCAGTGAATTATCCGCCCACATCGAGTGTTGCCGATCTCTGCGTTAGCCAGCATATGGGGTGCTTGTACAAACAAGTGCGAAAGGGTTGCCCGCGCGGTATTTGCGTAGTATATTCTCGACCACGCTCGCCTCGAAATGCATAAAAGCTCCTTTGAATTATTTACGGGACGAGTCTCGTTTGGAGATCGGCCCGTCGACGCCCCTCCTCCTCGGCGTTCCGTGAATTTTAATCCCTTCGAGGAGAAATTAAGGGTTATCGATCGCTCCAAGGCGAGAGGAATGCAAGTCGAACGGTGTTTCGTGGATTTTCGAGGAGGCGGCTACGGGATTTTCAATTATGCGTGTGGCAACTCGCCGCCGATCGCGATGCCGATACGAGGGACCGATAAACACAAAGTTTTGATGAATCTCGGTTCGCGCGCGGTTGTTTCAAAGTCGAACCTTTCTTCGGGAAATTCCATTCGGCTGCTCGATAAAACGGGGGAACATAGTTTTTTCGCGACCCGCAGCAAAAGGAAATCCATCGACTCGCACATTGTGGGTGAAGATTCTTTTTCTATCGAACCCCTTTCGCACTTTGATTCATCAGTTATCCGTTAGATCTCCGGTACTGCAAGAATCTCGATGTTTTTTTTTCCACAATTCGTGATTAATCGATAAAAAATCGTATACCATACAGTGTCGAAGATTCTTACAGTGCCTCGACTTGCAACCCTCTGTATGGCAAACCCCTCACTTCCCCCGCCCCCCTTCGTGTTGGTGAAATATATTATACTATATTCGTGTGTAATTTTTTCTGTTCATGTTTCTCTGAAACCGCGACGCAACTACTAAAACAAAAAAACAAAAAAAAAAAAAAAAAAAACACCTCTCATCTCTGCTGTCCACGCGCCACTGCGATATCACAACCACGACAACCACCGGGGCATTGGCCACGACGTCGGCTACAAACGGCAACACAACGGCGATGGCGTCGTCGTGTCTCATCTCTCCTCTGTACAAACTGTGCGCGCGTGTGACCCCCTTTTACGGGCGCCTCGCAGGTGGCCACTTGGTACAGGGTACGTTTACTCTCTTCGCTAATAGCATGCAACCTAATAACCCCCACACCGAAAGTCGACCACTATACACGCAGCTGCAGTCACATATATACATACATGTACTCGCAGCTTCCCCCGATCGAGTTGCTCTCCATTGCTTACCGCATCGTGTGTTTATTGCATCCATCTCTCTCTCTCCCCAACGTAGCTTTGCATGCACACGCTGCTCTCCGCGTCTATACCTAGTTTTCGCAGGTTGTGCGGAGAGTCGGAAATTTCGGTCACCCATTACCAACCCCCTTTGCCGTCCCCTCGATGTGTTTTTTCTCCTCGCGTTTGGTGTGCCTTTGCGTTTCGAGGCACAGAGAGCCCCGTTGGGAACGCGCCATACGTTTTAGACCGAGACCCAAATGCTACACATTTTGTAACGATGCGGTCGAACACGTTACTTCCCCCAACTGAGGTCAATTTTCGCGGTTCGTTTTTTCACGAGTGCGAGGAAAACTACCACGTTTTATTCATTCGTTTTCGAGTCAAATGTCATTTCACGCAATATTGTGCAAAGCAGTTGACGACAACCCGTGTAAAATAAGAAAAAACCATTACTTTGTTCGCGATTAAGAATAACAGTACGTGTCGCATGCTCGCTTCTTATCACAATAATATGATTTTCTAAGCTTTTCGCGTCTGAATGTCCATGCATGGTTTACTTGGTGCTTTACGCTTCTGTAATTATACATGTTAATATATGTGTTGTGATGCGCTCAAATACACGAATTGCATGTACATGTATATACTATCTTGCCTTGTAAATTATAAAGTTGTACTCATGTGTCATAAAGTGTATAAACATGTTTTACCTTCCAGGCTTACACTCGGGTTAATTTACTCCGCCTCACGAACATGGAGGGATAAAAACAAATGAAAAAAGTTGCAATATATCCACCCAAGAGTACACCCGCCCCATTCTATGAAATGACAGGAGAAACAAAAAAAAGACCCACTATACGTATGTAATATCAAAGTCGAGGCTTGACTCTCGAAAAAACATAATTACAGGAAGGTGCGCTCACTAGCTGTTATGCAACCTTGTCTCTTCCGAAGGCGACAAAGACGGTGTAAATGCTCATTAAAAGGCTGGTGTGTGTATTCACCGTGATACGGTATTTTTCAATAGCGAGGGCGGCTCTATAGTTTTTTTTTCATAAAAGCCATCCATACTCTAAGAACGCGTTGAAAGTGACTATACAAGGGCATCGTCATCATCTCCCGCACATATGGGTGTACGTATATAAGAAGAAGCGTACACAAAAAGACGATGACTTTCAATTTTGCGTCAACGAAACGCGCACCCTTCCCTTTTACTTTGAGTTGGCTCTTCTTTTTGCCTGTCGAATCGTTTTTTTTTTTTTGCTTCTACTGTAGGATAATCGTTAAGATTTGCTTGTCCATCTCGGTCCGACGACTCTATTCTTCGCTACAGGAATTCCAAACGTGCCGTGATGTAACGCGCAAGTGAGCTCATAACTATACAAAGTTGATGCGAAAAAATGTATATAGTGTAGGTACCCATCATTTTTACGACAAAATGAACCTGCTGTACCAAAGAGCTCTGGCCTCGATGGTTATGCACCCCACGGGACGCGTAAAGCGCACCTGCTGCCAAAGGGTCGATTTCTTCGATGCGCACACAAAGTGAGCCAGTCAGCGAATAAGTACATTATATTACGGGTGTGCAGATCAAGAAAAATAAAAGCACTGTATATATTTGTATGCCATACAACGAATATGTCACGCGATGGTTGCTTAGATTTCATCCCCAAGTGTCGCCGTCAATAGCAAACTCTCTTTTTGCTGCGACTCCCCTACATTTGTTAACATGTTGATGAATAAATTCCCGGGCATGGATCGTCAATTTGTTTTTTTTATATATTAAAATGAATTAATGATAACCACCTGTTTACTTTCGATTTAATTACAAATTATTCATTCACTCGCAATCTTTTCAAATTTAATAATAATTCGCTAATTACGATGAAAAGTTACTCTGTGTAGTGCACGCGAAGAGTGAATTATTAATAAAATAAAAAAGTTTCTGGAGAAATGTATACATGATATTATAACGTAAATGTGTATTTTAATCTGATCTGAAAACTCGTTAAATGGATCACCGACAGCTTTCGCACTTTTCCATCGCAAACTTAATTTTCACGCCCACATCACCACGAGTTATGGACGCGTAAATATTAGCTCTGCCCAGTCGTAGAATCATCGACTCGCGCAATGAAGAATAACTCGCGTAGAAAAATGTGCGTATCTCGAAAAGCTTTCTACCTGCCGTAAACGCATATGTTATTGCCGTCAAAAATTTCGCAACAGTAGGTATATAGCAGTCTGCACGCGCGTGTCACCGCCCCTATATATACATAAACAGATGTGCCAAAGTTGGAGTTTCTTTTTGCGCTTCCGGCTCTCAACATATGTTTCGGAAGCATACGGTGCAGGACAATAACATGATAATGAATCGTTTACGCAAATGAGCTGCACGAATGCGTGCGTGCGTGCTCGAGAATGGGTCATTGCGCGGCTGCGGGAAGGGTTTGCGTGACGCGTTTCACATTGACTCAAGAAACACTGTTTTGCAACAAGTGCAAGCTTTTTTTTTTTTTTTTCTTTCTCATCCAAGGCCGCTCTTATATCGCATTCGAGCACGACAAGAGGGTTGTGTACGTATAGGATATTAGGTGCTCCGAAGTGGGAGGATTGTGACTACACTTATATACTTACTTGTATGTACGGTCACTCGAATTAGAATTCGTTCATCCGTCAACAGCAAAACACTTTTTTTTTTTTTTTTTTCATCTCCACTCCGTCGAAATACCAGAGTCCATTACATTCACTTCTGCAATACGTATACGTTCCAAACGAGTCACGATCGGCCGACAAAAAAAAGATCGATAATTGGACGTTATTGTCAATCGAGGCTCTCAAATACGCGGACAAATCCTCGGGCACGATCCGAAAAAACGTCGTGAGTGTGTATCGCGAAAGTCAACCGACGATCGGTCCCCGGAAAGAGGTTGGTGTAGCTGCCGGCGAATTGGGTTATTGCAGGGACTTCATGCCCGACGTAATCGAACGAACGTACGATTTCAAACTTGTTTTGTTTCGACGAGAGTAAAAATGTATTCACGCGACTATCCGTATACAGCTGTACAGTGATCGATGGGTACTTTGACGTCTACTCTCTCGCGGGTATATTTTTATGGACACACCTAAGATGCGAAATAACTGTCAAGCCGATTGGAATTCGAGTGACCTTATGATTTATTTTTGAAAGGGAATTCCGATATGATTCAATGAAGAGTTTAATTAATTTTGCTGTACAAAAAGTGTAAGATATTTTACGCAATAACAGACCGAGCTTTTGATTATCACTTGAAATTAGCCAAACTCGCGTTACGTATACCCATACCGATTGTATTACAGAATACCGAAACATCAAAACTCTCTTACCTGGTAGAGATAAGGTATGATTTTTTTTTTCCGGCAATCCTATAGGACGCGACGTAGCACCTCCAATAACAAATACACGCGCAGCCGTGGAAAATCGGTACTGTACGCGTATCGTACAATTTTTCACCGAACCATTTACGATCCGCACGCGAAACGTATATATACATGTGATATCGACTCGCTGGCTCATTAGGCGCGAGATTCCTCCCCGCGATAAATTATTTGGCGCGTCCCCGGCGCTCATTGAACGAAATAGCGTAAGAAAACACAATTGCTCGAGGGGCAATTTAACGCCGGAGTGAAGAAAAAGAAGAGGCGAGTATGAAATAAGTCACGTGTATTAACAAGCGCTCCATAATGCGTTCTTTTGCCAAGGGGCAACAAAAAAAAGAGCAATCCTTTTTTTTTTTCGATTCTCTTGCGTACGTATATAAGCTCGTTACTCCATAACGAGACTCCGCGTGTATACACGGTGACGAGGCAAATGACTCAATCGAGCGAGTATTGGGAGGCAGAGGAGTGCGTGGGTGTGGTTGCTACACTTGACAATAAGAGAGTAATTTGTCACGTAACGGGATTGAAATGGCTTTTTAGTTGAGAAATGATTTTAACTCGCAACACACCACAGACTATATCAGGTTCATCAATCAATCGCATTAAATTAGATCGGACGCTCGGCTGTATCGTATATTCATATCGGCGAGTACAATTACAGAAAACAATGTGGCAGCGCGTATGAAGAACCGCTCTTAAATCTAATTTCAAGCAACTCCGGAGGGAAGGTGTATTAATATCAATGGCAAACATTGAAATGCCTCAAGGAGCGAGAGCCCGGATGGGTGCTTGTGCACACGCTCGCCTTTTTTTTTCAATCTTCCATCATCCTAGCTCCCTCCCTCTCTTTCTCTTGTACGAGCTCATTTACCTTTACTATTTGTCGTGTTTACCAAAATGAACTCTATTCTTGGATTGTCCTACTTAATTTTTATTACAAAACAAGTGTACCATACATAGAGTGCCATCCTGGTAGTTCAGATGGACTCTTGTTCGGTACCCCAATGACAATGGGCTCGAATATCCATTAGGATGGATGGGAGCCTCTCCTAAACTTGTGATTGAGGGACTACAGAAATCCCTTTTGGGCCTGTAACTTGCTTCGCTCAACCAAGTCGAAGTGAATCTGACTCAGCCATACCTCTTTTTTTTTTTTTTTTTTTTTTTTTTTAATACTCCCAAGTAAAATTCCAAAAGACAATAACTTTGCGAAACATGGTACGGAGCAAAGAGACGCCCCCCCCCCCACTCATTATCCAGATGGTCCAACGGCACGATCTCGGCTGAATGTCTCTCTTGAGCAAGCGCACGCGCGTATCTGTCTCTCCCGCGTCGTAACGATGAATTTAATCCGCGCGGCGGATCGTTGCACTCGCAGAAAGAGAGAGAGAGACCATCATGTATATATATATATATATATATATATATATGTATATGTACGTAGGTCTCGC